AGTGACTGGCCCTGCCCATTGGAGAAGGAGGTGAAAAGTATCATGGCCACAGACGAGCAAATAACCAAGATCACACAGCCCGCCTGCTCAGACATAAACAAATAAAACAAAAAAGCAGGATGAACTGATCAAATCTACAATCAATAAACAACGAAAATAACTACTGAATGCCCCGAAGACAGCAGACAATATCAAAACTTATTAAAAAAACAGGACAGGATGGTTCCAGTAGGAATCCAAAATAAAATACCAGATGACTTTCCAGTAGAAGAAAAGGTACTAGAACTACCTGACAGGGAATTCAAATATCTAATACCCAGAATTATCCAAGAGTTGAAGCAAAAAGCAAACAAAAATGAGGAAAAAATAGACAAATTCATGAAAAAGGCAGACAAATTCATGGAAAACACAGACAAAAAAAAAGGAAGAATTCAAGAAAATAATACAGGAACAAAACGCTACAATAAATTCACAACTAGAAATCATACAAAAACAACAATTAGAAATCCAAAAGACAAACAAGATTTCAGAAATGTACAGTGTCAAAGAAGGGCTGAGGAGCAGGTTTGAAACAATGAAAGACAAGATCAGCGAATATGAAGACAAACACTTGGATATAATTCTGTTTGAGGAAAAGTCAGAAAAAAGAACGAAGAAAAAGGAAGAAACCCTAAGAATTATGTGGGATACAATCAAAAGCAAAAAATTTTGAGGGATCAGAGTTCCAGAACAGGGGGAGAAAACAGAAAACACAGACAGTATCACTGAAGAATTGCTGACAGAAAACTTCCCCAGTATCATGAAAGATGAAAAGCTGACCATCCAAGCTCAACAAACCCTATACAGGATGGACCCCAAAAGAAAATCACCAAGGCATATCATAATCACACTCGCTAAAACCAAAAACAAACAAAGAATCCTGAGAGTACCTCAAGAAAAACAAAAAGTCACATACAGAGGAGAAACAATAAGACTGAGCTCAGATTATTCGGAAGAAACCATGCAGGCAAGAAGGCAATGGAATGACATATATAAAACCCTGAAAGAAAAAAATTGCCAGCCAAGAACAATATATCCTGCAAAATTCTCATTCAAATATGATGGTGAAATCAGGTCATTTCTAGATAAACAGAAATTAAGAGACTATGTAAAAACCAAACCAAACTTACAAGAACTATTAAAGGGAGTCCTCTGATCTGAGAACAAACAACATCAGACCACAGGCTGAATCTAGGACACAGGACTGTACTAGCCAGATACCAACCTAGGAAATGAACTCTCAAGGACTATCCAAAACCAAAAGAATTACAATAGGGAACCAAAGAGGTTAATCTGTAAATGACAACAGCATCAGAACAATAAAAGAGGGAACGAACGGTGTAGGTATAGAACCTTCTAATGGAGAGGAAGGCAAGGTGATACCAAGTAATAATAGACTGCTTCAAATCTAGGAAGACAAGGGTGAATTTCAAGGTAACCACAAAGAAAGTTAACGAACGTACTCATCAAAATAAAGAAGAAAAACAAAGTCTCAGTAAAAACAAAACCTACAAAAACAAAAGAAATGAAAAAAAAAATCCACAAACAAAGGAATTCAGCACAGGAGAGTAGGAACAAAGAAAATGTCAGCACCACAAAAAAAAAAAGCACTACAAAATGACAGCAATAAACTCACAAGTATGAATAATTACACTGAATGTAAGTGTCCTGAATGCACCCATAAAGAGATAGAGAGTAACAGAATGGATAAAAAAAAAAAGCACGATCCATCAATATGCTGTCTACAAGAGACACACCTTAGAAATAAAGACGTGAAGTTATTGAAAGTCAAAGGTTGGAAAAAAATATATCAAGCTAACAACTACCAAAAAAGAGCAGGAGTGGCAATACTAATCTCAGATAAAATAGACTTTAAAACAAAATCTACCATAAAAGACAAAGAAGGACACTATATAATGATTAGGAGACAATCTTTCATGAAGACATAACCATAATAAACATCTACGCACCCAATGACGCGTCTGCAAAATACATAAACTCCAACAGCACTAAAAAGAGAAATTGACAGTTCCACAATAATAGTAGGAGATTTCAACACACCACTCTCAGTAAAGGACAGAACATCTAGAAAGAAACTCAACAAAGATACAGAAGACCTAACGGGCACAATCAGCCAACTTGGCCTCATAGATATATATAGAACACTCCACCCAACAACTGCAAAGTACGCATTCTTTTCCAATGTACATGGAACGTTATTCAGAATACACCACATCTTAGACCACAGAGCAACCCTCAACAAGATTCAAAACGCTGAGATAATACAAAGTATCTTCTCAGACCACAACGTTATCAAGGTAGAAATTAACAACAGGAAAAGCAAGGGAAAAAAATCAATTACATGGAAACTGAATAACACCCTGCATATACATCGCTGGGTAATAGAAGAAATCAGAGGTGGGATCAAAAACTTCCTAGAATCAAACGAGAACGAAAACATATCATACCAAAACCTTTGGGACACAGCAAACGCAGTCCTCAGAGGACAATTTATAGCAATAGATGCACACATCAAAAAAGAAGGGACAAAATCAAAACATTAACTACAGAACTTGAACAAATAGAACAAGAACAGCAAAAAAAGTCCCACAGTCACTAGAAGAAAGGAAATAATAAAGATCAGAGCAGAAATAAATGAAATAGAGAATAGAAAAACAATAGAAAGAATCAACAAAACCAAAAGTTGGTTCTTTGAAAGGGTCAACAAAATCGACAAACCACTGGCCAGACTGACAAAAGAAAAACAGGAAAGGATGCAAACAACCCAAATAAGAAATGAAATGGGGTACATTACAACAGACCCAACTGAAACAAAAAGGATTAGAACAGAGTATTTTGAAAAACTATACTCCAACAAATTTGAAAACCTAGACAAAATGGATACATTTCTAGAAACACATTACCTACCCAAACTAACACAAAGTGATGTTGAAAATCTGAACAGACCCATAACAAGAGAGGAGACTGAAAAGTTAATTAAAAAACTCCCAACAAATAAAAATCCCTGGCACAGATGGCTTCACTGGAGAATTCTACCTAACATTCAGACAAGAGCTTATTCCAATACTACTCAAACTATTTCAGAACATAGAAAAGGAAGGGATACTTTCAAATTCATTTTATGAAGCCAGCATAACCCTGATACCAAAACCAGGCAGACGCCACAAAAAAAGATGGGAGGTGGGGGGAAACTAAATAGACAATAGAAAAGTGGTGACTTTGGTGAAGGGTAAGACAGTACACAATACTGGGGAAGCCAGCACAACTTGTACAAGGAAAGGTCATGGACGCTCCACAGACACTTCCAAACTCCCTGAGGGACTGACTTCCTGGGCGGAGGGCTGTGGGGACCATAGTCTCGTGGAACATCTAGCTCAACTGGCATAACACAGTTTATAAACGCAATGTTCTACATTCTACCTTGGTGAGTAGCGTCTGGGGTCTTAAAGCCTGTGAGCAGCCATCTAACATACTTCACTGGTCTCACCCCTTTGGAAGCAAGAGAGAATGAAGAAAACAAGATACAAGGAAAAGATTAGTCCAAAGGACTAATGGACCACAGCTACCAAGGACTCCACCAGACTGAGTCCAGTAGAGCTAGATGGTGCCCGGCCACCACTGCTGACTGCTCTAACCGGGATCACAACGGAGGGTCCTGGCCAGAGCTGGAGAAGGATGTAGAACAAAATTCTAACACACAAAAAAAGACCAGATTTACTGGCCTGACAGAGACTGGAGAAACCCCAAGAGTATAGCCCTCAGACACCTTTTTAGCTCAGTGGTGAAGTCACTCCCAAGGTTCACCATTCAGCCGGGGACTGGACAGCCCCAGGAAACAAAACAGGACTAGTGAGGCACAGCAGTCCAGGGACAAGGACTAGAAGGCAGGAGGGGACAGGAAAGCTGTTAATAGGGAACCCAAGGTTGATAATGGACAGTATTGACATCTCGTGGGGTTGTTAACCATTGTCATAGGGCGATATGTGTACTAACTGTTTAATGAGAAACTATTTGTTCTGTAAACCTTCATCTAAAGTCCAAAAAGAAAGAATTATCTATGTGAGATCAAACTGACAACAGCAACTCAAAAGGTTTGATGGGAAGCCTAGGGGACAGCGAGGTGAAGATAATGGTGATGGAATAATTTGGAAAAAGATAGTGAGAATAGCAGCACAACTGGAAGAATGTAATCAATGTCACTGAATTGTACATGCAGAAATTTTTCAAATGGTGTATGTTTGGCTATGCATATTTTCACCAAAAAAAAAGTCCTCCAAGGTTGAGAAGGGAGAGTGTTGATATGTTGTGGGGTTGTTAACCAATGTCATAAAACAATGTGTACTGACTGTTTAATGAGAAACTATTTGTTCTGTAAACCTTCAGTTAAGTACAAAAAAAGGAAAAAAAAAAGAATGACCTCTAATACGACTGAAGAAAATATTAAATATAACCAAGTTATTGAAAACTGCTTTTGTTTTCTAAAGGTTGAAAGACCTACGAATATATCAAGATAAGAAAAAAAGAAGAACGACACAATTTTGACACAACAGAAATGTAATTTCAAGATATGTTCAGCTAATCATGAAAATGAAGGAAGTAATTAACTAAAAAGATGCAAAGCTGAGTGAGGAACATAGCAGGCACTCAATAAATGTTTCTGAATGAACGATACTCTATAAGTGATCTTTTTTCCCCTTATTCACAATATCTGGGAATGTTCAAAATCTAAATTCATATTAACACTATATTAAATGAATATATTCTGATATATATTTGAAGGTTAAACTTTATACAAAATCTTTATGATAAAAAATCACTATTTAAGAACTGAGAAAGGACCCTAGATACAATTTAATTTAACCAGCTCATTGTACAGACCAAGATAATGCAGCCCAGTACTACACAGATAACCGCTATTTATATTCGAAACATTTACTCACTTCATAAGACCTGAATTCTTCTTACTAAATGGTCCAATAATTTTAAACATTAGTTCCACAACTCCATTTTTCCCTAAGGATACTGAATTCACAGCTGTGGGGGAAAAGATATAAAATGATTAGAAACCTCAGTAACTAAAAATGTACACGCTTGGTGAGCTACACAGCCAAAAATACATACAAATTGTTTAATAAATGTGAAGTTAAGTCACTCATAAGGTCCACGTTAGCCAGTCACTCAAAGGGAGGATTTTTTTTTGTTTAGTTTTTTTATGGGAAGTCGCAAAGAAATTCTGAAACAATATGAACAACAACAAAAAATGTTGTTATAAAAAATATTTAAGTTGCTCCATTTGTTTATTCAATAAATTTAGTGAACTCCACTAAACACCAGGATGCAGGGATTCAGTTTTATTTTTTTAAATACACTGTTTTCCTATTTTCTAATGTATGTTGCTGTTGTTAGGTGCTGTCAAGTCGCTTCCAACTCATATCGACCCTACGAACAATAGAATGAAAAAGACTGTCCGATCCTGCGCCATCCTCACAGCCGTTGCTATGCTTGAGCCCATTGTTTCAGCCACTGTGTCAATCCAACTCATTGAGGGTCTTCCTCTCTTTCACAGACCCTCTACTTTACCAAGCATGACGTCCTTCTCCAGGGACTGGTCCATCCTGATAACATGCCCAAAGTATGTGGGACGAAGTCTCGCCGTCCTCGCTTCTAAGGAACATTCTGGCTGTACTTCTTCCAAGACAGACTTGTATAGCTTTTCATTTTTTTTCTTTACTATTTTATTTTTCTGCTTCCTGTTGTTTATTGCTCTGTTCCTAACTTCTTTGGTTAGACATCTAATTCATTTTCTTATGTTATTTTTAATTATGTAAGTGTTATTTAAGTGCCCAAGGCTATTTCCTCTGAGCATGTTGTTGTTAGCTGCTGTCGAGTTGACTCGAACCGATGGCGACCCCATGTGTGCAGAGAAGAACTGCTCCACAGGGTTTTCAGACTGTGATCTTTCGGAAGCAGATCACCAGGTCTGTCTTCCAAGGCACGCCCTCTGAGTGGGTTCGAACCACCAACCTTTCAGTTAGTAGTTGAGTGCTTAACCATTTGCGTTACCCATATTGTCAAGGGGTACGTGCGCACGCGTACCTATACATGTGTGTGTATGTAAATACATGCATATGCATACTTATACATACATACGTACACACACACACACATATCTAGCACTTTCATTATCATTATTTTATAATTATATTCTGCAATAACATATTCAGGGAAACCTGTGACAGCTGGAACTAGGGAACTAGATGGGACTGCCTTGTTTTTCCAGGTCTCACATGTTTTCCGCCTTTGACAGGGTGCCGTCTTACCATTTTTCTATTCTATTAGTGGAAAATATTTAAGGTTTCTGCCTTACACAGGTTCCAGCTTTTGCAAGTTTTACTGTATTCTACAATTTCAATTTTGGGTTCTTTGTTTAACCACTGCAACTCCACGGTCAGAGAATACAAGAGAAAATCGACATCTCATGGGCTTGGGGCCTAATTTGTTAAATAAGAATGTGTGTGTTTTGGGGGACACTTCAACTGAGACTCACTCACTCTGTGATCCCTTTCCTGCCAGCTTCCTCAGTGGCTCATGTACTATTTATTTTCTGTTCGGCCACTTCTCTGTTGATTCTCAGGTGACTATGCTATCCCATGCCTTCCTTCTCAGCTTTTCTCTCATCCAGGAAAACCCAAAGAGGCACTGGCAGTTTTTCCAGCTGCCAATACCCTCATATTCTCCCACATCTTTTCCATAGGCTGCCTACTCATCCCCCTCACTCCAGTACTTTATAAAATTAATGAGCGTTCTCAAGATTTTGTCAAATCACCTTCTTACCCCACATCCCTTTTGTACTGGTTGAGGGTAGGAACTAAAAGTACTCATATTAAATCTTTTCCTCCCTTGTCCACAAATTTTGAAGGTTTATGGAATTACAGTACTTTAAATTTTTCATTTTGTATAATTTCACAACACTGAGTTAACAAGAAGCCACTCTGAAATACTCACAGTTAGCAGAATATACTCGTAAAAGCTGAAGACAAGGCAGAACCAAGCGGTGATTCTGCAAATTCTGTTTGACCAAATTCAAGGTTATATTCAGAGCTCCATTAATTCTAGCTTTCACTCCAAATTTTTTGTCTGTTTAAAAAAAAAAGTCATAAAACAATGATATTTTAAGTTTATGTCATGAACTCATATTACCAAATATAAAGTTGTCCTGAAACAATTAAAATTTTAATAATTTTGTTGTAGGATTTTTGTTGTATATTGTATGTATTTTTGAAAACTAGCTTGAAAGAATGTACTAAGGGACAGATAAGGAGGACAGGGCAGGGAAAGGCAGGCAGAGGATCCTGACACTTAGATTGTCATGAAACAGAGAACTTAACTGACCCACTACATATGTAAGGCTGTCCAGCTCAACATCGTTCCCAGGAACACTATCCCACAGTTAAGGGTAACAGTAAAAATCTAAACGTCCATTATAATATTATTTATTTAATTAAACCTTATTATTTTCAGGCTTTGAAAATAATAGAAAAAGAAAGAGTTTAGACAGAAAGTAATCTGGCAAATATCATCAAAAGTTCCTGTTATGGACTGAACTGTGTCCCTAAAATATGTGTTGGAATCCTAACCCTTGTCCATTTAAGAATAGGGTTTTCTTTGTTATGCTAATGAGGCCACATCAATGTAGGGTGTGCCCTAAACCTAATTACTTCTGAGCTATGAGAGGAGCAGATTAAGACACAGAAGGAAATACAAAGGGTGGGGAGATAAGATGTCAAGGAACCTAGGAATACTGGGGCTACAGAAGCTGAGACAAGGATCTTCCTCCAGAACCGACAGAGAGCCTTCCCCTTATAGCTGGTGCCCTGAATTTGGACTTCTAGATTCCTAAACTATAAGAAAATAAATTTGTGTTCTTTAAAGCCACCCACTTGTATTACAATCATTCCTCACTTATCAACATGGTTAGATTCCACAGACCAGGTCATTATGTGAAAATCGATGTTAATGCAAAAATGGATGATAACCATATCAGACCACAAAATGGAGGATGACTACACCATTACACAACTGCCAAATAACATCATTACGTAACTGCCAACGCACTGAGAATCATGGCCCAGCCAAGCTGACACATAACCTTAACCATCACAGCCAGTGTTACTCTCACCTCGCACCTCGGCATTCATTACTGCCGAACATACATCGTCAATGCACAAAATAGTTGGATAGTAGATTTTTTTACTACTGTCATAAATGTGAAATGTCAGAAAACAAGACAGTCAATAAATGAGGAGTAGGCGTTATTTCTGTTACAGTAACACTAGGGAAACTAAGACAGTTCCTAAAGGGATATATTTCTTGACATAGAAAGAAAAGAAGAATAAAAGAAGTTCTTGATTATAAGAGATTAAAAGAGTAAAAGAAAATCTGGGTACCAAGAACTTAAAATACTAAAATTTTAAATAAAGAAAGTAACAGGATCAGTGCATTGCATGAACAACAGGAACTTCAAGAATTAAAACCCAAATGTAACCCACAAGGAAATGGCATGAACTCTTAAAAATTCTAAGAGTTTAAGGAGTTATTTTAATCTTTGTGCAGGTAGATGACTGTAAGCAGAACTCAGGCTCTGCTGAAAGGACACCCTTCTCTACTAACCTAACCTAAACCAGCTTCCTCCTGTGTTCTACAGCTTATGTTTCCTCAATTTACATTTTTTAATATTTTGCATGTGTTACTGTTATAATAATCAGGCTAATGATTTTTCATGTCTATTTTGTCCTTCTTCACTAGATTGTAAATTTCCTGAGCGCCGAGAAACAAATATACAGCAAACATGACTATTAATGAAAAGCAAGGACACATTTTACCTCCACGTTCCTCTAACCACTCCCACCCTTTTCCTTCTAGCCTCAACATTATCCATACACAAGCATGCAGACACACTTGTGATTCTGAAACACTTTTCTTCCTTTTTCTACCATATGTAAATTCACGAATTTGTATCCTTCATTCTTGCAGGTCACTCCTAGCTGACTCTAAAAAGCATTCCATTAGTAAGATCAAGAAAAGACAGTAGCATCTTAGATTCAAAACGTTTAGTAGTTTCAGAGCAGATAAAAATCAGTGTTACAAAGATGGTTCCAGATTCAATAATCATACAAATGAAACCCTTACCTTTGGGCCCAATCTTTGCAAGAATAGAATGAATCTGTACCATTAACTCTTCATTTGTGGGGGATTCTTTGCTGGCATTCATCAGTAACTGTAACAATATTTGTGAACCACCTTTGGCAACTAAAAAACTAGCTCTTCGACCTCCACCTAAAAATTTTTAAAAATACATTTTTTTAAAAACAGTAAATTCTCCCATAACATATTATTACAACGTGTTAGCACCCAATAAACCTTCAAAGTGATGACTGCTAAATTGAAACAAATACCACCAAAATCACATTTTATCTCATTTATTTTAGTTAGAAAATGGCTCAGAAAGAGTAAACACATGTGATGCCTGAATTCTAGTTCAAAGCTCTAAAATACACAGGTTGCAGGGGTAGTCTGAGGGATACTGAAAAGGTACACAAACACAGCAACTACAAAAGAGTCTGACAGTTTCCAAATTCCAGTATTTATAACAGCTTCTACATAAGTATCAGAAAATTCCAAATAAAGTACACGATACATTGTTGATCGCTGTTTACAAACAGAAGTTAGAGCAAAGAAACAAAAACTTACCAGCTGACACCAGCTCAACAAGAATGCTTAAGATATTTAGTGTAGTTTGAAGATCTTTCGTGTTCTGAAATAAAAATTTTAGTTGATTTATTAAAACAACGTAAATTTGTGATTCCCAAATTTTTTTGACCTGTTGGGAACTACTTATATTTTACAGATGACCTCTGCAATTTCTCTAAGAACAAATGTACTCAGGTTGCCACTATTCTTGCTGATCACACTTCTTGCCCTTAAGAATTTTTTTAGGTCATTTGAGCTATTATTTTCTGAGTATCAACATTATTATAAGAAGAACGAATTTGTCACCTGAATTCATCATCTTTCTATCAAATATACAAGTAAATGAATCAAAATTTAAAATTTAAAAGACATTATAAGGTATATAGTGACTAGCTACCCTCTCAGAAAGCAAGTCAGGTTATCAGTTTCTTGTGTATCCTTCCAAACTAATATGCACACATATAAGCAAGGCATGTGAATGTACATATATATGGTGGTACCACTCTATCACCTTGATATTTTTACATGTCAATAAACAAAAGCGTCTTTATTCATTTTAAAGACTACATGATATATATTTCATTATAAGACTATTGTACTATTTATGTAACCAGTCGCCTTTCAATTAATTTTCATAGTTTTTAATCTTTTCCAATTAAAAACATTTCAAAAATAACTACATACATATATTTACATGTAATCAAGTATGTCTATATGTGGGATAAAGTTCTAGAATTTCTGGGTCAAAGAATATGAGTATTTCTTTTGATAGAATATTATCAAATTGCTCTCCAAGGAGCAATTTATAATCCCACCAGCCATGTCGAAGAATAATTATTTCCCAAATTATTAGATTGGACAACCAATCTAATAGGTGAAAATGTTTAAAGGCACACTTTGGTTACATTTCTCTTATTAAAAGTGATGCTCAACCTTAAGTGCCATTTTTGCATTTTATTCTTATTGATTTATAGAAGTTCTTTATGTATTAAAGAAACTAAAGGAGTTGAAAATATTTCTCGTTTTGTCAAGTGTCTTGATTTTTTATGGGTTTTCTTAATTCATTTTTGTTAATGTAGTTGAATTTATCAATATTTTCTTTCAAAATGTTCTGCATTCTACTTTGGTGAGTGGTAGCTGGGGTCTTAAAAGCTTGCAAGCGGCCATCTAAGATGCATCAATTGGTCCCAACCACCTGGAGTAAAGGAGAATGAAGAACATCAAAGACGCAAGG